CTTTAAGTTGCACGCTGAATCCCTTTTTGGCAGCACCCTTTTTTTTTACACCTAAGGTGTTTTTTTATTAGATTATGGCCGGCATGGTCAGGTGATTAGGGCGTTTGACTCGCAATCTGAAGGTTGCGGGTTTGAATCCCCGTCCCACCAAACTTTCAACCGTGGGAGCGTTATTATGTGACGGTCAATCCCACTATTTGCGCGAAAGTCAAACCAAACTTTGATTAGATTAATATACATGCACACGAGGTCATACTCCTTATTGAAATGTATTTTTAATTAAGCGGTCTTAAATTAACAATTAAAATCGCTTGCGTTACCTTCGCGTCTCATATTTATATGCAGTTAACCGTAGGAAAAAAAATACTGGTTGAACGAATAAAATATTAGCATTGGCAATGAAATAAAAAGTAGACGGTTGTATACTTGTCTGTGATAAGAATAACGTTTGTAGCCCCATCTGCAGGCAAAGGAAGTAACTTGTTTTTTAGGAGAAATCAGAAAGTCTTTGTCCAGAAGGAATATATCTAAGAACATCATACATACTTTCATGTGTACGTTTTCAAATATCTTTGTTTAATTTTTATTTTCTTATTCTTTTTCAATTAAATATTACGGGAAATCAAATAGTTTTTCATAATCATTCAATATTTTGAGAGTTTTGCACATGCCATTTTTTGTCATTCCTTTCTGTTTTCCTTCCAGAATCTTCCCTCTGACATTTCTACTCATATTGGCTGTTCTAATATTACAATAAGTTATCTTAAAGTTGAAACTTCATGCTTGAATTTTCTAAAATAAACACTGAGAGCTCCTTAAAGTTAAACAGCTTCAAAAATATGTGTATAATATATATAATATAATCTTTTCTTCCTTTTATGTTAAGAATCACTAAATTCAAGCTCATGGCTGTACCATACATTTGCGGTTTTAGTGACTTATTATGTTTTTAAAAAGCTGATCTAAAACACATTTTACTCAGACAGTAAATTATTCATCATCAAAACAAACAATAACCTGAAATGGCTACGATGTGATTAAATGTGCTTCAAGTCTCATTGAAACTATAGTTATTAGTTATTGTTGAAACTATAGTTATCAGTTATTGTTGATACTATAGTTATCAGTTATTGTTGAAACTATAGTTATCAGTTATTGTTGAAACTGCAGTTATCAGTTATTGTTGAAACTGTTGTTATCAATTATTGTTGAAACTATAGTTATCAGTTATTGTTGAAATTACAGTTATCAGTTATTGTTGAAACTACAGTTATCAGTTAGTGTTGAAACTACAGTTATCACTTATTGCTGAAACTACAGTTATCACTTATTGTTTGGAGCTATAATTTCCAATAAGCAACTGAAATGAAGAACTTACTTTATAATCCATTCAGAAATACAAGTAGTGGAAAGTAATTTGATGTTATAGAATGTCTTTCTACATAATTATACGTTCAACCCTGTTTTTTTTATAAATCTACCGTTACAACGAAAGCTTAGGCTCGACCAAACTACCACATTTCTGGTTCTCGCCACTTTTTTTTTTCTTCCACTTCAAGGATCTTCAGTTATGTGAAAATATTACTTCTTGATTCCTTAAAGTTCATTCTAGTGAAACAAATGAAACGAAATTAGTTAACCTTCTGCTGCATAACTTTCTTGTAAAGCTTTGTTACTTTTACATACTAAATTTATTGTCGCCATACTGCGTTATATTTCAGCCTGGAAAGAGATAACCAACTATTAGCTTTGTTACTATAGCTATTATTAAATTTATCGTAGCCGTACTGGATTATCCTTCAGCTTGAAAAGGGATAAGCATATATTAAGTGAATGATAAAAAACCTCCACATGGATGTATCGGTACTGGGATCAAAGAAACCTTTGTATTCATATATCATTACTGGGATTAAGGAAACCTTCACATGGGTGTAGCGGTACTGAGATCAAGGAAACCTTCGCATGCATGTTTCAGTAATAGGATCAAAGAAACCTTCACATAAATGGTTCAATGTTGGGATCAAAGAAACCTTTACACACATGGCTCAATACTGGGATCAAAGAAACCTTCACACACATGGTTCAATACTGGGATCAAAGAAACTTTCACATACATGGTTCAATACTGGGATCAAGGAAACCTCTACTTGTATATCAGTACTGAGGTTTGCTTGCACCCCTATATTATAGATGAATCTGCCTCTGTGGTTTTGACAGACATGTATTTATTGTTTTGCATATGCTGTTATGAGAAAATGAAAGATAAGTGGCACTTTGACACGAGTGAACTTAACATTGTTTGTGCAGATTTGAGTCATACTCCATAAAACTCACTCGTAAACTCTCTTAAGGACAGCGTGAAATTAGAACGAATCATCACTTTGTTACAGCTTCAATTTGTATTCAACAACATACTGCGAAAACCATAAATACAAATAGTAACGTTTCATTGCATTAAATGATGCACGTATTATTTTTATCACAGACATCCATATATTTCATGGTGAAGTTTTTCTTAAAGCTCCCATTTTCTTTTGTCTTTTTTTTTTTTAAACGCTGTTACAGAAGAAGTGTGCAAATGTAGACATAATATTTCTTCATTTGAAAGGATCTTCTAATATATTTATAATTTGTAAAAATAAAAACGTATTACAATAAATAATGTTCGTAAAGCGGGTTTTCATTGTGATGAAACATTACTGGTAAGTTTTCAACTCTCTCTTTTTTTAGATATCTTCAGATCTACGAAACATACACACAGAAATAAATGGTTATAAAAAGAAGCTTGTTCAGTTAGCCTGATATCTGCCCTAAGCGGTGGTTGAAAGCTATTTTAACAAAGGAACAATGCCCCCTCCCAGTGGCACAGCGGTATGTCTGCGGACTTACAACACTAGAAATCGGGTTTCGATACCCGTGGTGGGCAGAGCACCGATAGCCCATTGTGTAGCTTTGTGCTTAAACTTCAAACAAACAAAGGAACAAAACCTAGTATTTTATTTACAAATTTTATTCACTTTTAAATGAGATATGTAGTTTTTGCAAATGCCTATTATACTGTTGTAATTTCCAAACCAAATTTATAACTTTTCTGTTTGTTATAGGAATTTTAGGTGGTAGATAATCTTATCAGAGTTTAAGTTTAGTTTTCATGGATTTAACACAGCTTATGAATAAGTATTCAGAGTTTAAGTTTAGTTTCATGGATTTAACACAGCTTATGGATAGGTATTCAGAATTTAAGTTTAGTTTTCATGGATTTAACACAGCTTATGGATAGGTATTTCTAATTCTACTTAAACAATATCCAGGGACATTTTAAGTAGTCCAAAATACATTTGCACACTCACCTGAGATCGAACAGAGTGGTGGCTCAGTGGTTAGCGTGCCGGATTATGGATATGAGAACCCGATGTTCGCGTCTTGTTGTCCCCTCGAAACAAATTCGTGTTCTGCACTTTGGAGGCGTGGTGGTCAGATTCCACTATTCTATTAGCCTACGAGTTGGCTAGTTGCCTTCCCTCTAGTTTACCACTTCTAAATTAGGTACGCAAATAATTCTCATTAGCTTTGTGCGAAGTTAAAAAACAAAGAAACTTTTGGGATTAATTTTCTCGAAGGGATAGAAGTTTTTTGTATTAAACAAATTTATAACCAAAGAAGGCATAATTGTTCTATGATATAGCTTTTCTATTAATTTTCAGCACCTATTTTAATGATACGAATTTTTCGTACTTTTTTCTAATTGTAGTTGATTCTGAAAGTACGGTTTTGTTTATAATGTTTTATAGAGCTATTTCAATATTTTGATTATATGTGATTTGTGGGACTTAAGTACATTATTTTACAAGTATCTTATATTTATTTCTTCTATCCACAGCCCACTCAAATGCAAGTTTTCTCTCCTTTGCTCATCAGTGACCTCTTTAAAAAAATCAGTATTTTGAGAAATGTTATATTTTAGAGTAGCTGTTAAACGAGTTTGAAATGTCAGATAAAATTGCTCTGTTTATTCTACTTGCTCTTGCAACTGTTTACGTACAAAGCTACACTGACGATTTTCGCTGTGATTATCCTATCCCTCTTGTAGCCCATGTGGCCTTTCAAAACAGAGGGAAAACTGGACTAACATTAAAAGGCACCACTGCCAGAATGTCTCTCACTCTCGGACAAACCGCATGTTTTAGCTTATCAATTCGCAATTCATCCGATCAATCTAGTTTACTTGAAGCAGAATTCCGGAAAAGAATTTTGTACGCTTTCCGTCTAGAAGAAGTAAGAAACGAATACCCCGTACAAAACAGTTATACTTTCACTCAGGCAGATCTGAAAGTATCTTGTCTATGTGACTGTCCAGGTGGAGCTGACAGATGTGCCCCTGAATATGAGAATTCCGACTGTGATAACTCGGAAGATTCAGCTGCTTGCTACACTTTTTATCAGAGAACCTCTTCCGCTGGTTGTTTTTTGAGCATATTTGACTCTACTGCTGAAATATGCTGTAAAGCCTGGATAATGCCACATATGGAAAATGGGATATACGTAGCCCTTCAACTCGGCACACCAAGCACAAAGCTACGAGTAAGAAAAATGGCATTAAACGAGAAAGGAGAACCTGTGGGACCATCAGATGTACTTGAAACCGATAGTAAAGAAGGACGATTTTCTTCAGATTCATTTGAAGTAGAACTTACAAGTACGGTTCAAAAAGAATTTTTAAGACCAGGTATGTATTTTGTGAACTCGGCTGGAGATCTGTATCAGCCCTCCCATGTTTCTTTGAACTATCCTGGGACATACGAAATGGAGCGACTGGGTTGGCTGAAACATCAGAATAAATGGTACATCCCCGCTAAAAGTACAGTGAAAGCAAAATTGGAAATAAGGACTCAGAGTTGTGCTGAAGAAAATTTCGACATGGTCCATTCTTACACCACTGATAAACCAGAGGATGTATCGTCTCGTGTGATAGACTTGTACTCAGGTAAAATACAGAAGATGTTCTATAACAGGAAGGAACGACGTGTAGAAGAGATATTATCAGCTGTACATCGTATGGATTTCCTTTTTCATATTCAGGAGGATGTCGATGTCTTGTTTCATTATCAACCGTCGACCCTGTACGATTTCAATGCTGAAATCTTATTGGATAGATACTCGAATGAATTCTTGAATATCACTCTGAAGGGAGTATCTGGTAATATATTTTGAACGTTTTGATTGCATCTTTGTAAATTGTGAAATTAAATAATAAAATACATTTTAATAATTCTCTTCAAAAAACAGACATATATATATAGAGCTACGTTGTATAAGATTTGAAGACATATTTCCGAATAAGATATTCAAAAATTTAAAATTTAGTGTATTGTAGCAATTAATGGTTTACTTTATTAATTTCTGAATTCTAAGAAATAACAACGAAATCAAAAATTTGCTTTTCTGTTTAAGTTAAAGAGTACTTAATAAGCAACCCGTAATATCTTTCTGTTCTTGCTATTTTTCTTCTCTTTATTGTAGGAACTGTACTCGGTTGGGTGAGACATGAGAGTCAAAAGTTTGCTTTTTCAATCATTAGTAAATCCTTGGAACCAACTATGACAACAGTTTACAAACCAACCAGTTTTTGTGCAAACAACACCCAAATTTGTCTACGACCAGTTTCCACAAAACAACCTATCTGCAAAATCATTTCGTGCAGGAAAGAATCGCTAGAGGGAGTAATTAGGGAAGATGGAACATTCATAGAGGTTGGAGAGTTAGAAGAAGAAGCCTGGAGTGAAAAAGTATTCAGTGTTTTGTGGGATCTTCTAAATCCAAAAAATTGGTTTGAAAGTTGGACTGGGTTAGCCGCAGTTGTGTTCTATGCTATTATAGCAATTTTCACACTAATGGTCGTCACTCAGCTGTGTGTTTGTGTGAACTCCGTGGCGAAGTTGAGTAGAAACTGCACAAGACAAACTAATGATGAAACTATTACTAGACATGTGACATCCTGTAAGTGTGATCAGAGTAAGTCATTGCAGGATAGTACTGTAATCTGAAAAAAAAAACAACAACAACATACACACATTGTAGTAAGTAAATGGATTTTATTTTGTGGTTTTCATATTCCCAAACAATGTACAAAACATAGAAACCTTTAGTAGTCTTGTCGAAATAGTACAGTTGATTTTCTCACTGAGTTATCTGAATCTACGTTTAAGACAATTCTATTTTTTTTTTTTGCAAAACTTGATAAAGTGTTAACGAGGCGTACGCAAGCAATTCCGTAATAGTTCGATTAACTAAATATCCGTTTTGAAAAAAGGGTTTTTATTTGTTTGTTTTTCATGGGAATTTATAAAGTACAAGAACTCATGTGCACTTATATCACAGACGTCATTATTATAAGAGTGAAAATTGTTATCCGTCAACGGAGGACACTTTATAGAAGTAGCATTTAATGGTACATTTTTCTAGTAACATTTGAATTAAGCAATATAACAATTCCCATTTTTTGAAGATATAAGATAACTTAAACAAACTTGTAATTATCTGTGCCATCGTATAACAACTATTGTTTAGATTCAGCAAGTCTTTTTCTTAAGTGCCTTTTGTGCTTTTAGAGCTTTAATTCTGCAAACAAATCTTAAAAGTCCCTAAACATAATCTGCCTAAGTCATTAATATTTTTCATTCTTGGAGTATACAAACGCCTATTTCCCAAAGATCTTTAAATTTTCCCGCCTTTGCAAGTATTATATTAGCAGATTTTGATGCTTGACTGGAAATCAGGGATTCATGGGGTGAAGCAGTTTCGTGTGTTAAGGATAATTGTCTTATAAACAGACAATATCTTCTAAAAACATTGGTTACTGCAATTCTCTTGATAAAATTAAATCAAAGTGTTCACATCTAAACCAACTTTCTTTATTTTCGGTTTGCCATTGAAACGTATGTTACAAAAATTTATTGCCGATAATTCTTTTAGTAAAATTGAAATAGATTCTTGACATCTAAACCAACTTTCTATTCGAAGTTTACTATTCAAACTTATTCTGGTTATCATTGGTTGAAAATTGTCTTCGATCTTACAAAATTGTTTAATTTAAAGTTTTAGTTGAAATTACACTCATCAATAAATATTTTCAATCCAAGATAAACACGAATTTCATCTATTATCACCAAGACAATTTCATGAAGTTTCCTACAGTTGTTTTGATTTTAGAAAAGTGTTATAAGAAATAAGTGAAAGAGAACCTTGCATATATATTTGTATTTCAGGTTCTCTTTATTGGTAGTTTTAGTATAAAAGACACTGATATTACTTTGTCAGGATCTCTAGATGATTCCCCCTTAAGAGTAAGATGGAGTAGTAACAGACTACTTCTTCTTCAGCCAGTAATTGGTGATTCGGTGACATTATACTCTGCCATACGAACAAAATGGGGTTTGGACCTCCTGATTCTCTTATTTAAATAAATGCATTACACTATTACACTCTGCACTCTTTTATTATATAATAGTAATAATATTACTCTAAAAGTACAGTAATACAGCATATTCACCACAAATTTAGCAATCTATCTTAGATATTGATAAGCGCGGCCAATTTAAAATTATATACAGGGTTAAACCCAACTGTCGCTTCAGAGACTGCGATTATCCTGGGCATCAGAAGCAACAACAAAAAATAAAAAAAGTACATCATAAACATCTCGAAAGGAAAGAAGAACGTAAGAGGAAAATAATACCACATACATGTGGGAAAACGTTTATAACGTTTTACTGCAATCTTATAAATAATACTCTTAGCAAATTCATAGTTACCATTATTATATTTATCAGTGATAGGCGTAACCTGATAGGGCTATATGCAACCACGTGTCGTAATTACTGAAAGGTGATTGGCTAGAGCTGATGTGCATGAACTATTAATTTCATTTGAAGTACACATTTTTAAAAAGTTCTGAACGTTGGAATCGATTTAAGTATTTTTAGATGACATTTATTTAGAAAAAAACAACAAAACATTTTGATATTGCGCATGCGTAGTCTTATGTTTTCTCGTGTTTGTATGCTAATCAGATAATACAATTTTGTGCATGGCGTATTACCATTATGTTATGAGTAGGGTCAGAATTAGCAATAACAGAAGCAGTGCGTCGATTCCTTATGAATATCAGCACCACTGTTAGATAAATTAGCAGGTGATTTTTTAAAACGCAACAGATAGTATAGTATATATTTTAATAATATACTTGTGTTTGTATGGAAGTGTAAAACAACAACATGATTGCTGATAGCATAGGTTAACGAGATGATGACAACATAAACAGGATGATTAAACTAAAAGATTGGTAGGCTATTAGGATATTATATAAAAATATGGCTTTTAGATATTATAACAATTCACGTTATCACTTAAATTTTCACACGCATCTCAATCAGCATAATTACAGAAGTGCTTAAATGTTACCTCATAAAACCTTAAAAAGAGCTTGCCTAGTTACCATACATATATATATATAAACTTGAATCCACACGACACCACACAAACAAATAAGAGAAGTTATGCTGGTTGCAAAACACTACAAAGAGCATGAGTAGACAAGTATAACAACACGTGGTGACAGCACTAAAAAGGGCGTTGGGAGTCTTCGTTTCTCTCATTATCTCTCAAACGTGAAAAAAAACATCTGAATGTTTAAAACCACAGTGGTCTAGGTTTTGACTACCATTCACTGTTTGCAGCCAAGTGTGGGTATGGTAGTAACTTTTAATTTTAGAATTACAAAAAACAATATCTTGCACTATAATATATAACCCTTCTACGTATAATATGATGAAATGCAATAAATTCTCCCAACCACCACCAGTAAAGATATTATAGTTCTTAAACTTATATACTTACATTGGAAACATTTTAAAGAAATATCATTATATTAACCTCATAGTTTAACCACCCAACCACCACCCTAAAACTTACCTCCATAGTTCGAGTTGCAATATACCCAATTTTAAATACAAATCGGGCAGACTAGGGATAGCCTAGATACTGGGGGTTTGGTTTCTTGCTTTTAAAGATATTACTGTTAAAAAACAAGTAATCAGGGTTTAGATATAGGAAATGAAATTTAAAGAAATGTGCAAATAAATTTTTGTAGTGAACTATGGTACCTATTATAAAAATTTGCTTACATTGAAAACCATTATAGTTTAGCTTAGCAATTAAAAGATAAATATTCTATAAGAACAAGGATCTATTATTACAAACTTATTATCAGTGAAGATTTGGTGAAGTTTTAGTTTTTTGTCAATTCTGAAATGGCAGGATACAACCATGGAAATAATACTATCATATCCACAATCTGCTGCTGGTGGTGGATGGTAGTGAAAACCTAGAACATTGTGGATATAAGTATCTGGGTTTTATCCCATATTCACCTGCATTTTGGATATAAATATCTGGGTTGTATCCCATATTCACCTGTATTGGGGATATAAGTATCTGGGTTTTATCCCATATTCACCTGCATTGTGGATATAAGTATCTGGGTTTTATCCCATATTCACTTGCTTTTTTTTATTTTTAGTAACCGAGTTTTAATCTGCGTTTGAGAGATAATTTGGGAGACGGGATATCCACAATGGTTTGGGGTTTTTATCACTGTAGTTATTTTTCTAACTCTTAGCTGCTTTTTACAACTGGTATAACATCTGGTATCTATTTGTGTTGTACTGTACGATTTCGGATCAAGTGTATTTTTCTTCTGGTGTTGAAATGTTTGTCCGTTTCCAGTTGATGATGATTTATTTTGTATTTTTACATTTGAAGAAGTTTATCTGGTTAATATATGTTTGTACAGAGATACTGATTTATATGTGTAATGGCAATATATATATATATATATGTATAAACAGTTTTTACATGTGCACTTCCCGTCGACAGTAAAAGTGCTTGGTTGACTATTTTGTGAAGTGTAATTATAAAAACTATAAAAGCTTATATGAGAACGCGGTACTCGAGAATCCGCAATACTGGGAACCAAGGTGGCGTTGATAACAAGTTCTATAATTGTTGTATTGTATTTACTCCAATAGCTCTGGTTCCATCGTGAAACAGAGGTGCGCCGGCAATGTTTCCATTTACTATAAATAATGGAACTACGATATTTGAGGATTGAAATGAACACGTAATTCAAACTGCCTATAAAAACGTGTGCTTATCGGTTAATTCAGGGATTTTTAACTTAAAATAACTATATGTCTCAGGTTATTGAGTTTGTATATTGATTTAAGAAAAAGATCTGAAAGAAATTGTGTTTTTATATTTATTATATTTGTATTTATTAACTTAAAACGTAGATTCCACCTGGAAAGGTGTCATTGTGATTTAAACCTAAAACATTTAGTTATAGAACTTGCAAGTAGATGGCGCGTAATTACGTCGTCTATTTAATTAAAGATCTCTAAAAGATGTTAATAGTTTTGCTTTTTATAATATAATCGACTGCCAGAATATTCAAAGCAAAATAATAAGGAAATGCGTATAACTAAGAGGAGAAAAATCAGCAAAATATAAACTTTGTGAAAAACAAGCCAACAAAAATTATTTTCTTGGATTTTGGAAATTTAAGTGTCTCATATCTATACATGTCCTAGCGTAATAATAATAAAATATATTTACGATTTTAAAAATAAGAGTCATTTGTGAAGAAAATGTTTACCATTATATAAAACATTACATATAATATCAAAAAAGATGCTTAAACGCTTCTGTGTAGGGAAAGCATTATAATATTATTAGAAATTGAACAGTTATTTTATGTTTGATATATATTAAAGCCGGGATTATTTAAGTACAAACATTTAAGTTCTTTACTGAATACGAATGAAGAAGAATAGTTGATTATGTCTAGGAACATAGGTGTATCTTTATGTTTAAAAAAACGAAATATATTTAAGTCTGTGGAGGTCTGCAATGAAAATACTTTTTCGGATAAGCTTCAAATGAACCGAAAATATATGCAAAAAAATATATATATAATAATAATAACCGTGAAATTCTGTGTTCAGTAAATAAAGGCTTCCATGATTTTTTTCTTGAACTTCAAGTCTTGGTTTTGAGTGAATACTTTTAACAATAGGTGATGACAATATTAGGATTACATGATGGTTATATGGGTTGGGCATAGGCTAGATGATATCATGCTTGGACTATGAATTCAAGGGTTTATGGTCCGCGACCCTTTGCTACGAAAACACGTTCCGCACTTTGGGACCATGGATGCGCTACAAGAGTGACAGTCAAATCCGACAATTCGGCTAGAAAAGAGCAGTCCAAGAGTTTGCGGGGGGGGGGGGGTACTGTTGACTGAGTTAGAGACCTACATACGAAGATAGCCTTTTGTAGCTTTACGCAAAATTCTGAAATAAACTAACAAACTATAATAATATATCAAAAGACATCATCTCTCACGTGACTTAAAACCTGTACGATTCGTTTCTAGTAGGGAGAGAGTGTAATTTTACTTGTTGTGCTTCACTTGTATGAGGTTTTTTGCTCAATGCCAAAGACTATTAATCCAACTAGGTTGGCCCGGCATGGCCAGGTGGTTAAGGCACTCGACTCGCAATCTGAGGGTCGCGGGTTCGAATCCCTCACACACCAAACATGCTCGCCCTTTCATCCGTGGGGGCGTTATTATGTGACGGTCAATCCCACTATTCGTTGGT